AGTGTGTTTTGCTTGCAGGAAATCCCTCATTTCCTGTTTCCTGTGTCTGTCTCCTAATAAAACATCCTGTATGATAAGAAATCAGAACACAGCTCTGATTATTTACAGTCTCATCACAGCGCCACCTACAGGACACACACACACACACACACACACACACACACACACACACTCACTCACTCACTCACTCCCGCACACACACACACACACACACACACACACACACACACACTGTCATGTGTGCTGGAAACGCATCATTTAAACATGCACTCAGTCATTTAATGTTGAATATATTGGTGGTCTGGATGTAATTATAGAAATACATCATAAACAGTTTTGTTTGTCACCCTTGATTCATTTATTCCACAAGAAAGTGACAAAAATACAGTAATACAACTTTTTTGGTAAATGCAACTTTTATTAAATCACAGTGACTGAAATAAAAACATATGACTGAAGTCTTCATCTGATCTCAGTTGAATGGACGTCATCTTAAACCGATCTGACACATTTAATATTCAATTGATTCTTTTTAAAAGAAGACTTTTTTTTTTTCAATCAAATATAATATGCATGAATGTAAATTATAATTTATATATTTTGTTCATATTCATAACTTGTTCATATCTGCAGTTGTTTTACATTCATTATTAATGTTGAATTATAAACATTAAACTTTATTTAAATCAAATTGTTATTATAATTATGTATACAATATATATAGCTCTTTCATTTTTGTAATATTTTTGTCTTTTATCTCTTTTAAATGTAAGTTTAATGGATGGAAAAATGAATACTATCAACATTTCCTCACCCTCATGTCATTCAGAGATGTTTTTAGTTCTAGTTTTTAGTTTTATATTTTCTATTTTCATTTTAATTTTAGTGTTTTAGTAACTTTTTTAGTAACTTTTTATTTTTATTATTCATTATTTAGTCTTTTTTTTTCAAATATTTCTGTATAGTTTTGATTAAATTTAAAGTTTTAGCTATTTTAGTATAAGTTAAACTAAATGAAAATGAGAAATGCAACTAGCTGAAATTTAAGTTTTTTTAATATATATATTTTATTTCGGTTAAAATAAATGTTTTTATTTATTTCAAGTAATGTTTTAGTTAACTATAATCACCCTGCTTGTGTGTATGTATATACTGTATCAGTTATGAATATCAGTAATATGTAAACTCTGTCTCTGTGTAGGTTCTACTCTTCTCCGTACAGCATCACTGCTAACCGGATGATTGCGCAGGCGTCCATCACTCCGTTCATCACCGCTTCACCCATCTCTGCATATCAGGTGTGTGTGTGTGTGTGTGTGTGTGTGTGTGAGATCCATCACTGTGTGTGTGTGTGTGTGTGTGAGAGCCATCACTGTGTGTGTGTGTGTGTGTGTGAGAGCCATCACTGTGTGTGTGTGTGTGTGTGTGAGAGCCATCACTGTGTGTGTGTGTGTGTGTGTGAGAGCCATCACTGTGTGTGTGTGTGTGTGTGTGAGAGCCATCACTGTGTGTGTGTGTGTGTGTGTGAGAGCCATCACTGTGTGTGTGTGTGTGTGTGTGAGAGCCATCACTGTGTGTGTGTGTGTGTGTGTGAGAGCCATCACTGTGTGTGTGTGTGTGTGTGTGAGAGCCATCACTGTGTGTGTGTGTGTGTGTGTGAGAGCCATCACTGTGTGTGTGTGTGTGTGTGTGAGAGCCATCACTGTGTGTGTGTGTGTGTGTGTGAGAGCCATCACTGTGTGTGTGTGTGTGTGTGTGAGAGCCATCACTGTGTGTGTGTGTGTGTGTGTGAGAGCCATCACTGTGTGTGTGTGTGTGTGTGTGAGAGCCATCACTGTGTGTGTGTGTGTGTGTGTGAGAGCCATCACTGTGTGTGTGTGTGTGTGTGTGAGAGCCATCACTGTGTGTGTGTGTGTGTGTGTGAGAGCCATCACTGTGTGTGTGTGTGTGTGTGTGAGAGCCATCACTGTGTGTGTGTGTGTGTGTGTGTCTGTGATCCATCACTCTGAGATTGATTTATCAGCATCAGAGCAGAGGATCAGAGCAGAGGTCTTCTGTTCATTGAGACCAGTTCACACCAAGCACAGATTAAACACCAATATGAAGCCCTTTTCTGTGGCTGTGCATGAAAATGTCTGTGCAGATCTGAATATGTTTGCACTCTACCTCTAATAGGGTTCTAGATCAGTGTATATGTGACTGAATTACTGCAGTTCAATTTGCTTTTGCATTTTCAGTCATCAATTCAGAGTTTTTTTTTTTTATATTTTGTGAATGGTTTTGATGCTAATTTTTAGTTGCAAGAATTCAGAAAAGACAAATCACACATTCTTGAGTGATGTTTTGGTTTTGTTTAATTTCATTTACATTTATTTCTATAGCATATTTAAAACAACTCATTGAACAAAAGGCTTCACACTGTAAAACAATTGAATAAAAACAGAAAAGTGTAAGAAATGTAAATGATTATTAATACATTTAATTATATGTTTTATTTTAGCATCGAGATACTGTTGCAATTTTTTTCATATTTTGATTTCATTGTTATTTTTATAATTTCAGTTTCCATTTTAATTTTAGTTACTATAATTTATTAATTCGTTTTTTGTAAATATGTCTATGTAGTTTTTATTAATTTTATTAATTCAATACATCAAGGTAAACTAAATTAAAATGGGAAATATTGCTACTAGCTGAAATTGTTATTTCAGTTAATGTTTATTTCAAGTAACAGGAATGTATCTGTGTGTTTGTAGTTTTATTTAGCTATAACAACCCTTTAACATGCTGTTTGTGGACAGTGTTTATGGTTTATGAATGCTGGATGAAGCTGTTTGTTGTTCCTCACAGGTTCAGAGCTCAGCATGGATGCCGCCGCAGCAGTTTTTGATGCAGCCGACAGTAAGTGACCTCTGACCCCTGACCTTCCCTGTTTCTATGACTGGTTACATACACAAGCCTAGCAGAAACAACTTCTTTAATTGCAAACATTAGAGAGGCTATATTATAATGAAAAACTATGACTGTGGAAAAATGTTTTTTGCTCAGTCTGACTGATTCTCAGAAAACATGAATTGCTATAAATGCTAAAAGTTTAACAGAGGCATTGTGTGACAATATTTCAGTAATGCTCAAAAGAAAACAGCCTGTTATAAGTGTGTTTTATGCAGTGGGCATCAGATAAGAGTGCAGATTTCTGAGAGCATGTGTAGTTTTAGACATGAAGGTTGTTTCTGTGTTTCATATGAGTTAGTTAGACACAATCGCAGAAACACACACTCTCTGCTGATTCAGTCTTATTCTCATATGAACTCCTAGAGCATGTTCCTCGTGCTGTTTCTCGAGTGTTTGCCATGTTAAAGTCATTGATCGAGGTCAGCACTGAAATGAAACCAGACAGACATATCGGCCGCACAATATGGAATCAGCCAACCATAACCCACGGTTATATGACATTCACTAAATCAATATCACTGTGCTGAAGTTTCATTTATTTTTACACAACACAAACTCATCAACTTGACCGTAGCACTTTCTGGTGACCAGGTTCATGTGAACATAGACGTCCTTCTTTATTTCTACAGGAACAACACAATGTTATCAATGTGAAAAAGAAAAAAAGGACACTGCAAATCATGAGTATCTTTATCTGGTCTAACTGGAAAACAAGACAAAAAAGACCGATCAAGAACTTAATTTTTTGCAGTGAGTAAATAAGTAGATGCTAAATATGTGTATGTTTTCTGCCTCTGTGTGTGTGTAGGGAGCGGTCATCAGTCCAGCTCTAGATCACAGTGCTGCATCGGTGCCTCCAGCGGCCATAATGACTCCACTAACACAACAGATGAGTCAGCTGACACTGGGATCTTCTGCTAATGTGAGTTTATATGTGGGTTGTGTCTGCTCTCATCTCACATTTACTGAACACGAAATGTCACAAAAACATCAACTGTGTTTGGTCACTGTAGTGTGTGGTCAGATGGTACAAGTGGTTTTTGGTCAGAATAATATATATCAGACTTAATACTAGACTATTTACCAGACTATGTACTGGACGAAAAAAAATATGACTCTATACCAGAATATATACCGGACTATATACTCAACTATATAATGGACTAAAAGGCAGACTATATACCAGACTATATACTGAACTATATTCTAGAATATATAACAGACTATATACTGAACTGTATACCAGCCTATTTAACAGACTATACACTGATCTATATACCGGACTATATAACAGACTATATACTGAACTATATTCTAGAATATATAACAGACTATATACTGAACTGTATACCAGCCTATTTAACAGACTATACACTGATCTATATACCGGACTATATAACAGACTATATACTGAACTATATTCTAGAATATATAACAGACTATATACTGAACTGTATACATGACTATATAACAGACTATATAATGAACTATATGCAAGACTGTATACCGGACTATTTACTGAACTATATACCAGACTATATAACAGACTATATACTGAACTATATTCTAGAATATATAACAGACTATATACTGAACTGTATACATGACTATATAACAGACTATATAATGAACTATATGCAAGACTGTATACCGGACTATTTACTGAACTATATACCAGACTATATAACAGACTATATGCAATATAACAAAGAGTGAAAAATTTAAGGGGGTCTGAATACTTTCCGTACCCACTGTATACCAGCCTATTTAACAGACTATACACTGATCTATATACCGAACTATATAACAGACTATATACTGAACTATATTCTAGAATATATAACAGACTATATACTGATCTATATGCCGGACTATATAACAGACTATATACTGAATTATATTCTAGAATATACAACAGACTATACACTGAACTGTATACCTGAGTATATAACAGACTATATAATAAATTATATGCAAGACTGTATACCAGACTATATACTGAAATATATACCACACTATATAACAGACTATATACTGGTCTATATACTGAACTATATAACAGACTATACACTGATCTATATAGCAGACTATATAACAGACTATATACTGAAATATATACCAGCCTATATAACAGACTATACACTTATCTATATACCAGACTATATAACAGACTATATACTGAACTATATTCTAGAATATATAACAGACTATATACTGAACTGTATACATGACTATATAACAAACTATATAATGAACTATATGCAAGACTGTATACTGGACTATTTACTGAACTATATACCAGACTATATAACAGACTATATACTGAAATATATACCAGCCTATTTAACAGACTATACACTGATATATACCGAACTATATAACAGACTATATACTGAACTATATTCTAGAATATATAACAGACTATATACTGAACTATATACCTGACTATATAATGAACTATATGTAAGACTGTATACCAGACTATGTACTGAACTATATACCACACTATATAACAGACTATATACTGGTCTATATACTGAACTATATAACAGACTATACACTGATCTATATAGCAGACTATATAACAGACTATATACTGAAATATATACCAGCCTATATAACAGACTATACACTTATCTATATACCAGACTATATAACAGACTATATACTGAACTATATTCTAGAATATATAACAGACTATATACTGAACTATATACCTGACTATATAACAGACTATATAATTAACTATATACAAGACTGTATACTGGACTATTTACTGAACTATATAACAGACTATGTACTGAACTATATACCACACTATATAACAGACTATATACTGAAATATATACCAGCCTATATAACAGACTATACACTTATCTTTATACCGGACTATATAACAGACTATATACTGAACTATATTCTAGAATATATAACAGACTATATACTGAACTATATACCAGACTGTATACCGGTCTATATAACAGATGACATAATGAACTATATGCAAGACTGTATACCGGACTATATAACAGACTAAATACTGAACAATATACTGGACTATATAACAGACTATATACTGAACTATATACTAAACTCTATTGGACTAAAAACCAGAATGCATACCAGACTAAACCTGACTATATACAAGATTAAAACCTGACTATATACTGAACTAAAAACACAACTACATACCAGACTATATAACTGCCTGTATTCTAGACCTGACTATATACTGGAATATATATCCAACTAAAAGTCAGACTACATATCAATATATATCAATATATATATATCAATGTATATCTATATATATATATATATATATATATATATATATATAAATAACAGACTATGTACTCAACTATAAACCAAACGTATGCTGGACTAAAAATCCAACTATATACCAGACTAAACCTGACTACTGTATGTACCAGACTATGTACCAAATTAAAACCTATATACCAGACTCTATATCAGACTATACACCGCCTTATATTCTAGACTAAGTACTCAAATATATACCAACTATATCAACTATATACAACTACGTACTGGACTGTATACCAGAGTATATACCCAACTATATGCCAGACTATACTGTATACCAGACTACAAGTATGGCTATATACTCAACTATATACCGGACAATATACCGAATTGGCTCACATGTCTGTGAGCTGTGAGAAAAGAAAATTTACTTCACAGCGATTTCTGTATCTAGAAACAGTTCATAGTGTTTAGGGTTAATACTTGGAAGGTGTGTGTGGGTGTGTGTGTGTGTGTGTGTGTGTACAAGATCATTTGGAAACTGGTTCACGTATCCCGTCTCAAGACACCCTGCCGAACCCTCTCTGTCATCAAACACACACCATCTGCCCCGTCTGTGTAAGTGTGTGAACAAACTACAACGCACACTTTCCTTTCAGACAACAAACGGCATCAGAGACTCTCAGTTTTAACGTTCTTTTCAGTATGTCAGATGTAAAATGCTGATGAGCCCAGCACTCTATAGAAATGCTCACTTGAATGTTCACGCATGTTCACTACAGGACTTGAATGAAAGCAGTTCATGTATGTTATGACTGTATGCCGGACTGTATTCTAGACTACATGCTGGACTGTACACCAGACTATATACTGCATTATATACAAGGGCCATAACCACCATACATTGAGGGGACAAGTCCCCCCCCAATAATTAAAAATGGCCAATCTGCGCTGCACAATCTCTGTGTGCGATGGACGTGTGTGTGTGTGTGTGTGTGTGTGTGTGTGTGTGTGTGTGCATCAATGAAAGCACCACATCACTATAGAACAGTGATTAAACTGACTTGGAACTACCTGTGCATTAAAGTGCCCCTATTATGCTATTTGAAATGTTTATAATTTGGTTTTGGGAGTCCCCACCAACAGGTTTACATGCATGCAATGTCAAAAAACACTTTCATTTTCTTATAACATGCGTGTAAAGTTACCTTATTTCTCAACGACTCTAACGATTTGTTCGAAGATTCCTCTTTCCGAACCCCTCCTTTGCATAATGTTACTCTGCTCTGATTGGTCCGATGACCCAGTCTGTTGTGATTGGTGTACTGCGTACAGCGCATGTCTGAAACAGAACGCCCATCACCAGTACTGGAATACGGCTTATCAATAATACATCCTATTATAATAATAATAGTGCTCCACTCTGTTCTAATAAGAAAGAATCAGAAGGGAAAAAGTTGTTTTACACTTACTTAGTAAAGACTCAAACAATAATGGTATATGCGTTAGCCGAACACAGATGTAGAGTACTGATAAAGCACTGCAGTTTGTAAACCAACGTATTGCTTCATCCTTTATCATGACTGCAAGTAATAAGAACGACAGACATTCTGTATTAATCGACACATTTCTAGACAATAGCGGGCCCACAGCTGAGTCAGCCGGAGACCTACAGCTGCAGTGTTTACACAACACACAAAACTACATATATTTAACCCTAAAAATATCAAGACCATAAAGAGGCATCAGAAAATTTATTTATTGCTATTTTCCATCTTATTGGGACACAAATAATATAACTTGATCATTTTTTTTCAAAACATGACTTTTAATTTTGATTTTAATGTTTGTATCCCACAGAATACGTTGCCAGTTTTAGGGTTAATGCACACCTGTATATGTATGTATGTGTGTGTCTGTGTGTGTATACTGTAAGTTTGTCCCCTCCAATGTTCAAGACATGGTTACAGCCTTGTTATATACTATATATACTGGACTATAGTGTGTGTGTGTGTGTGTGTGTGTGTGTGTGTGTGTGTGTGAACCATCCATTACACACACACACACACACAGGACAGCGTGATCTGCAGCTCTCGATCAGTCAGCGTCCTCTGCAGTGCAGCGAGAGAACTGCATGTGTGTGTTATCTAGTGCTGATCTGTGTGTTTGTGTTTCAGTATATAACGGCTCCGGCTCCTGTGGCCCCTATGCAAGGAACATTCATCCATCAGTTAACGCCGGGCCCTCCGTCAGCACTTCCTGTAGAGGTAAGTCATGCATATTTCATGAGTTTTATAAATACTAGGGCTGCACAATTTAGGCAAAAGATTGTTGTATGTCAATATGATGATGATAATAATAAGTGTAGTAACAGAAGTTCCTCTCCAGACGGTGGCTCCCTCTTCACAGGACGTCCATTTAACACAGCAACAGATCGCCATGGAAACCAGTGACTATATTCAACCCTGCTCCTACCAGTCCAAGTGCGCACTACGTCCTGTGCACTGCACCCTACATACTTCACATCTACCTACAGTCAACTTCACAAACATGGACAAAACCAACTCATTCCATTCACCTCACAACCTGATGACCTTATAGTAGGCCTTAAATAAATAGTATATATTTATTAATTAATTCATTAATTTAATCCACCATTCGACCTGAAGACCTTACATCCTTTTTATTTGTATTTATTTATTTATTTTATTTATTTATTTATTTATTTTATTTTTTGTCAAAAATAAAATAAAATTAACAGTTGTTAATGACGAGTTAATGCATTGGTAATCATTAATATAGGTTTAAAAATATACTGCTAAATTATTTTATTTTATATTTATATTTTATATATTTTTTATATTTAATGTGGAAATTAACACTAATATTATATATTAGTAAAATAAATACTATATTATATATTAACAAATTAATTTAATGCACTTTACAACCTGATGACCTTTCAGGCCTTTTATATTTTTTAATAGTCAGAACTGAAATAAAATCGTTAGCATTAGCTAATGAGTCATTTAATGCATTTGGAATCTAGGTATAAAAATATACTATTAAATTAATTAAAGATAGTAACTTGAAATGTGACAAATGTTACTACTGTAACATTATATAGAAGTTAAACATTAATAATATAGATTAATAAATGCTATATTACATTAATTAACGAATTTAATGATGACCTTACATCTTTATAGTCGAATTTAATGATGACCTTATATATATATATATATATATATATATATATAGATATATGTGACGAGTGGGGGCGGGGCCGAGAGCCGTGGGAACGGAGTGAGGCCGGTGGAGTAATTGATAATGCACGACACCTGCGCCACTCACCGGTCTCGAGTCCCACGG